CTGGAAAACAAGTTTGGATTTAGGTTTTCTAACTGTACCTAAATTCACCTTTAGGTATCTTTGCCATTTATTGGATCCTTTGTGACTGAGTGGGTCATAGATAGTGCAAGGACAGGTTTTTGCATGCTAGGCTTTTTTTTTTTGATCCCATCTGATGGGAAAAAAGAAATCACAAAAATAAATTACATGGGCATTTCCGGATATTCGGCAAAGATTTTTGCTTGATCAAACTGAACTTGGATGAAAGTTCAGACACTTATTTTTTGAAACCATTCCCCATCTGAAAATTTAACACACCCACTTTGACACAAGAAAAACCTTCCAAGCAACTGCAAACTTTCCATGATCTTTTGACACAGTATCAGTGCCGCTCAGATGTGCCTTTCCAAAAAACATATTTACTGCTGGACTGAGGGGGTTTTGTAATATTTAATTTTTCTGAGATATGTCACATAACCAATGCTAAGCATATTGTTGCTTAGTTTTTTAACATGGTAACTTTTAAACCATTTTACAGTATCATAAAGCATTCAGTCTGTTGGCCTATACTTACTAAAATTTTACAAACTGTAAAAATCACTTAGTTATCCATATGATGGAGTTGCTAACATGGATAGTAATTTTTTTGCACTTTATTGCAAAGCTGCTGAATTTCTTCAATCTGCTTCTCCAACTATATGCAGATAGACAAAATTAAAGATGACAGAAGACAGAAAAAAAAAAAAAGGAGAAAAAAAGGACTAGAATTAGTTGAACCCTCCAGGATATTAATGTCATCATGAAATAAGGCATTTTTCCTGTGTCAGTGGCCACTGTTCCTTGAAGACAAATCAAGCTGAAATCTGGATTCTGGCAAAATGCGTGTCATGGATTTTTAGCCTCCTGGAGAGAAGCTGTACTTGTGTCATTATGATCTTCAGCATTTTACACTTAAACAGCTTATCTGCTGTTTCAAAACCTTTACTCTTAACATTATCAGCTCATTTATTAACAACCTTGAACTCCACATCTTCCCTCTACCTTCTCCTTCTTATTCATCAGCGATAAGGTTCTGTGAAGCAAATTATACTCTCCAATATACTTGTATGCTGGAGACAGTGCAAATGCTCAAGCTTCTTTGAAAGCATAATTAGTCTTTGTTTTTGATGAAGACTCATTAGAAAGAAGCAACCCATCCTGACTTGCAAGATTCAGGTTGTTGCTTTCTGTCTATAAGGAAAGGAAAGGAAGAGAAGGGAAGGGATTAATGCATTTGAAAGCCAGAGTGATTTGATATGGAACTGATGAGTCAAAATAAAATAACAAACCATTATATTAGAGCTGTCACGGATAGTTCTGTCTAGCTGGATCTACAAACTAGCAGACCCTAAGCTTAATGCACAGACAATATCTTTGGATACCATAAATGCTGGTTTTCTGGAGCAACGGGGGCTCACAGAAAATGATGCAGTTTTGAATTTGATCTATAGAAAATCCATTCTAATCATGATTACAATGTACTTCAGTTTAATATTAAATCAATAAGGAAAAAGCCAGAAAGAATCATGGTAGTTTAAAAAAGGAAACCATATAATAAAGAGAAAGTCAATTAGCAGGAAATTAGCAACAGCTAGGGAGTCAAAATGTTTGCAGGAGACATTGAGAATAAAGAATCTGTGCTATAACTCTGGGAAAATGTCTAATTGCTCAAACATTTTAGGGCAAATTTATAAATTTAACAATAACAAATTGCTAGGACCAGGTAGTATCTATGCAAAAACTCTACAGGAGCTCAAGTGTGACATTGTTGAACTTCTCACAGACATTTACCCCATCATTCAAAGCAGGCTTGGTGCCAAACAAATCGGAAGCATCAGCTGGGACATCAGTCTTGAAAATACATGAAAGCTGCTCTGGGGAACCACATTTCAGTTAGTCTGATTGTCTATCAAACCAATTTGTACAAATTATAATAAATAACAGAATATAGAGGCATCTGGATATGTACGATACATTGGAGGAGAGTCCATAGAGCTTTTTTAAAGCAAGGTATACTCGTGATATATGAGTGTTTCTGAAGGAGCCAATATGCTTTTGTTTAAGCCGATTTCTTTAAATGAGTATATTTGGATTTACAAGAATTTTTTGTCAGAGTCTTTCCCTAAGCTATCATGACATATGAAAACATGGAGTATTAATAGAAAGGAAACAATGGGTTAGAAAATTCAGTTTTCATTATGGAGGGAGACAGGAAACAATGGGAGGTTCAGCCTGACTTCTGTGGGGGCAAGGCTATATAAATTAGGGCTTGTCAGCTTGGAAGAGAAGTAACTGAGTTTTCTATAGTCATGAATGACAAAGAGAAGCTGAATAGAGAATGATTAATCATTCTGTCTTTCTCAGAAAACCAGAACTAAGGGACACCCAATTAAATTACTAGGCAGCAGATTTAAAGCAGATAATAGGAAGTAGTTTTTCTTACAATACATAATTAAATTGCAGTGCTAATTGCCACAGGGTGTTGCAGAGTCCTAATGTTTAAATGGTTTAAAAATGGGGCTTAGCAAATGTAATATTATTACACAGGTAGTTATCAAAAATAAACGGTCCAGATGTCCCGATTCGGCAACTTCTGAAAGCTGGAGAAAATCCCTCTGTATTTTTCTTGTTTCTGAGATATTTTCCTTACAAAGCTACCACCAGCCTTTGTTAAAGACAGAATACTGGATTAGATGGTGGACTTCTGCTGGCATGGTAGTGGCTCTATTTTTATAAAACTACTTTCACAGTCATTTTTCAGACTGGAACTGCACTTTAAAATAACCTCCCCAGACTTGGAGTTTACTGTCCGTGCTCTGACCTTATTGTAAAACATCTTTTGTATAGCCCAGACTGGATTACTGCAATTAATTCTTTACTGGCTTGCCTGAAAGGCAGGTCCTGCCTGCAGCTATTGCAGCATAAAGCAACAGGCTTATTATCAGAGAAGAGCAGATGGGATTTGTAGACTTCCTGCTTCTTTGTTCTCTGCATTGGGAGCCTATCAGTAACTATACTGATTCAAAAATTTCTACTATAGGATACCATGTAAGCAGCATCCTATAGTAGATCTCTACTGATTTAGGGCATATAATTTCTCAGGTCCAGGAATAACAGGTTCCATGGGCACATTAGGATGTTTGGGGTCAGTGTTAAACACATTTTATCAATGCCTTAAAAAAAGAAATGGAACCATCAAGTCTTCATTGTGGTTTGTAAAGAGCTTATGAAGTTCTGAGTTGATCAAACTCATCAGCTAGCGTTGGAATATCAAATGGAGCTCATTAACAATTTATTAGTAACATCAATATTGGGAGGAAAATAATTTGTGTTTAAAAAATGAAGCAATTAGGTCAAATATTTTAATGACTAAGAAGTTCAAACCATCTTTGCAGAAGACTAGCAGGCCAGCATGAAGACCATGAGACAGTGTGTTCATGAACACACATTTTACCTGCCAGCACCTCTACGTGAACCTACGCTGTCAGTGAAATTACATGTTAGTGAAATTAGATGTACATTTAAAATACAGCAACAAATACAACACAGCGAAATGCATTTTTACGCTTTACTAGATCCACCTGTCCAGGAAATGCCTGGAAAAAGACAGGGTCTCTCACACTGACTGTGAGCATGGTGTGAAGTGTGCACAAGTTTAAGCTGTTTTCTACCCATACTGCTGGATGGAAATCAGGCTCAAAGCAGTCTCGCTCAAGGAAGAGCCAACCTTCTGGACCATTTTCTTGGGGATGAGATGTAATGAGCCTGATCCTGCCTGTGATCAATTCATCCGAACTGCCAGGAAGAACTTTTGTACCCATGCTAGGGCACTACACTCAGTCCTAAGCTTTTTCTCCTCAGGAACTCAGTTCTGAAACAAGTGTCTGCATGCAACATTTGGGTAGGTGGCACAAACAGTAGATGGCAGCTGAAAATTTGCAACTACTTTTACTCATAACTGAGGACAAGCATTTCCATGGCGACTCTTAAGATCCTGCGCCATGATGCTACATGCTCTAGCGTGTCTCCAAAAGCATCTCCTGATGTATCTCCAAACTGTTACCTGCGTTCGTTAGATTTTTTTTTTTAACAATGCAATATCCTGACCACACTGTCACGTTCCTGTTCTGGCAATTGAAAAAAATCAGATACCCGTTTCCTGTTTTTTTGCTGGCCCACTAAGTAACTTTGCTTGCCTGGTTCAAAGACAAAAAGTAATTCCTCCATTTTGAATCTCTTTTGAGTATTTCCTCTCCCTCACTGCATCATCCAGCACTGATATTATCATAAACTTCTTCTTGGCTTTTTTCATTGTATATTACTGCTGTCTAATAAACTCGATATTACATACACTGCTAATTATCTTTTTTAGCACTTTACAGTCTTACTGGATTAGCATATGCGTTTCTAAGAATTAAGGCTAGTACCATTATTAGCGATAAGAACCTGAGAGATATGCCTTTTTCTGGGGCTAAACATGTAGAAACTCAATTCTTCTTTTACTTACGGGAATAAAGACTACAGCTATATGTAGTAGTGAAAACTGGATTATGTTACTCACTCTGATGACGCCTGGCAGAACTGGGGCCAGATGGTTTTTACACTCTCATTTTTCCACTTCTTTCTTCCAAAGGGACAGAGGACACCAAACCAAAGTTTTGGATTAAGCCCTATCTGGTTGCAATGTAGTATACTGGGGGCTGTACTTGCTCTCTTCTTTGATAAAAGTTACGTTATCTGGAAGCCAATGCTTTGTGCCCTGCTCTATCTTCCTTTCCAGTCATTCCTGTAGTTCCAGTTGTTATTATTTGCACTGTAAGAGTGCCTAAAAGACTGACAAACATTAGTGCCATTGTCCCGTGCACGTGCAGAAGAAAGTTTTCAGCCTATAAACAAAAGAGAGAAAACTGTGACAGGCTGGATGATTTCAAAGTTGACTTATGCCCTGAACGGAGAATTAGCGTCCGTTCCTCCTTACCTAGGAAACCTGAGACAGCGACGCGGCACCGTGGAGGCAGTGGTGGCTGTTACGGCTACTACTCTGCCCGAAGCTGATGCTCAAGAATTGGGTAGCGACCGACTGACAGCTATTATTAGCAGGGGCTGAGCAACTTCCATGCTTCCTGGAGATTTGTTCTCCATTTCATATCAGAGCTTTAGGAGACTTCAGGACAGTAACTCGGGAGGTTGTCCCCTGCAGCTGCAGCTGGGGGCAATGAACCCGGTGAGGGCTGTGTGATGGCTGGGCTACCTTGGGCAACACTGAATCTCTGCTCACCTGCTAGGTGGGAGGAAGGGACACAAGCTATGGTTCCTTCCAGTACTGGGTAATGAAGGACAACGTAAAACGCTACCATGAGCGAGCATCGTTCATCCCTCTCTCAAAGACTGGAACGTTACAAACCCATCTACGTATCTGGACTGTGTTAAAAAAGTCATTTCGATGCGAGGGCATCTTTCACCTCAGGGGTTCCCCTATCCATCAGCAATGAAGTAAGTAGTTATGCGGGTTTCTGCTGTGCCGGGTTCAGCATTCCTGCTTCACCAGCAACGCACCTTCAAGAATACGCTGCCTTCCTCGCCGTGAATCCAAACTCCTAGAATCAGCACGTTTCTAACCCACAAATGCCTGCTTCGGGCTGAATTCGTTCCTTTCAAACCCAACAAAGCCTGTATTCGTGATTCCCATTCCCATCACACTTTCGATCTGCATAATTACAACCCTGACACCACCAGGCTCTAATTACGCGGCTCACCAGAGGAGCGGCGTCCTGGGCCACATCCAGCCCGCGGGTGGGGTTGGGGGGGGGGAAGCACCTTTGTTTCCAGACCCGCGCTGAGGCGGCCCCGCCGCCCCCGGGGG